TTGACCTTTTTGCTACTTTTTATCAGGACTCGAATGACTTAAATATCCCTGATTTGGATAATTTTAAAGAGGAGTGACGTGGATTTGGACTGCTAAGGAGAATTTATTCGGTATTATGCTGTCTTTTACCTGTTAAAGTGATCTGACGGTTTTGGTTTGATCCTTCATCGTCCAAATTAACACGCAATGATTTATTTTTTTATGATCCTTTTTTTCCTAAAAAATTGCTTTCCATCAATTAAAATTAAAATTAAGATAATATTATATAGTATTTTTTGTACTAATAAATGATTTCATTTCCACATTTCATACATATTACATATAAAAGAATATGTGTTTTGCATGTATCAACAAACTTGTTTAATTATGTATTTTTTTATAACTGACATGAAATTATGATATATTATTCAATTGATTGTCAATAAAAATATATTATTATTTATAACTCCAGTCAATCATTCGATACTAAAGCAACATGCATTGTGTGCTAAACTTGATTTATCACTTTAATTAATCATTTCAAATCAATTTTAATTAATAGATGCACTACCATATTGGACATTTAATTTAAAACATTAAAAACTAATTCCTAACCTTTAATCTGAACAATGCAATTAATTTTGTAAATGTGAATTATTAAATTTTATATCAAATGCGTGATGATTAAAAATTAAACAAAAATTCCTGATTTTCAAGCATGGTTACGTGCAAAAATAATACTTTTAGAAATTAACTTTCTTTTCTATTGAGGAAAAGCATTTGATTGGCTGAGAGCACGATGTCGGGCACGCATAGTACAATTACCTTGAAAGGATGTTTTGGTCAATTCAGGTGGAATAGATTGTCCATTCGTGGACAAAGCCTTCGGAACAAAGGAAAGTTTCTGACTTTCAAGCAGTAGTTTTCCAAATAAAGAAATCAGCGTGTGATAAGAATACACACAATGCACACAACGAACAAGAACTACACGAATCTAACACCCTCGATAGACTCGACCCTTCGGAAAGGTCAATGATCTGACGGTACAGAACCTTGCAAAGACAGCGGTAACGTACTACGTGAAAACATTTTGCAGATTTATAGTTTTACAGTAGATTAGAAAAGAGAATCTCTCCAGCGATAGGCTGCTTCCCAACGACAAAGAGAGGTTTGTATTTTAAAGACGCACTTAGCACCTTTAAGCATAATTAAGGTGAAAAGCATAACGTTTAATCCATGGGAATCAAATTGTGACATCTATATTAAAAAATATATACATTGTTTTGTTAAGTATTAAATATATATATATATATACACTATTAGTCATAAATTTGTTAATAATAGCATTTATCAAAAAATAAATTAATTTGGTATGAAAATTGAATAATTCCACTTGCAAGTCACAATTAAACTTTGTAATTTAAACCGGTTAAAAAGAGAAGAAAAGATGAAAATATGACTTTTGACGTTGAATACGTTCTTGATCGTAATTTTAATCGAAAATTAAAAATATTCGATTTTATTATATTTGAATTTTATTTTTTTTTTGGGTTTGGTTGAAATTATAGAAAAGGAAGAAAAATTGACTAAAATCCACCAACAGTTAAGACCCCGACCATAAAAACCCTGTCGTTTTAAAAAGGTCAAGTTGCCAATCAAGTTGTTGTTTGTCTTACGTTCGTGCACCATCTTTATCAGCAAAGTCCATTTAATGCAGTATATTTCCGTTGATTTTTTCTGGGCTGAAATGATTCCAATTATCCATGTGCTATCTTCCTTTTCTTTTCCCAGATTCAGGTTGCACATCTTTCCCTTTCATTAGCCTTTTGCTTTACTTTTACTTAGTTTCTTTCTTTCTTTCTTTTTCTTTGGTTGAGCCAACAATTTTCCTAAATGGTTAGGAAGATAAATACAATGAATATGACATTCAATATTTGTCTTTTTGCTATACTGAAAAGGATTGGTTATGTGTAGCAAGGCATGTCGTTGATCTGGAGAAGCGATCTCAGCTGTTCATTTCCGTTTTTAATGATACCACATTATCAACCAATCAGAGACGACAGATAACTTTACAAAATTTGCTTTCAAAGCCAGAGCATTTGGCTGGATAATTGGATATCTTTCCAAATGATTCCACCTACCCAAAGCTTCAGACAATTAATACCGTCCATTCTCATATGACATTTTATAGTTCTTTTTCACAGGATATTAATATTCTGTGAAGAGTATTTTCACAGGAAATTAGATTATTAATTTTATTTAATAAAATTATCAAAATATTATAACTAAATATCCAAATTAACCTTTCAATTATATAAAAAAATCAATTAAGTCTCTATTCTTTTATTACATTTAAATAAATCTTTAAATTTTTATTTTAAATCAAATAAACTCTTCTTACTAACTGTTAATTAACTTTTGTTAATCAACTGTACAATTAAAAATTTTCTTCCACTGTGGTTGATTTTGTATTTAAACTTGCTGACTAAGAATTAGATTTTTCCTTTTTTACCTATTCATATATCCAAAAATAATTAAATTAGAGATTTGAAAAAAAATTTAAAAAAAATCTAATTGCTTCAAACTAAGTCTTAATTACGAATAAGTTTTTAATAGAAAAGGCACTTGAGTTTGACAAGAAAACCCAAACTAGGGAGACATTCAAGCAAGACTTTTTGTTGTAAAATTTTTTGCAAGATCATAACACCTTCAAGATGAATATCTATTTCGAGTACAAGAGATTCATCTTCAATTTGTATCTATTTCTTAACATAACAAATTTCAAATAGAGGATTAAATTTTATTTTTATAATTTTGTGTTAGGGATTACAAGGAATGCTTCGTTAAAAGTTGGGAGGTTCAACTTTGATTTCGAAAAAATCTTTTCAATATATGGGACATGCTGATCATTAATACAATGCTTCAAATTCTTATTCTACCCATTGCATGAACAAGTTTCCAACTGTGAAGCAACACTATGATTAGCTATACGGAGGGGATGGATTAATCAAAATGAAAAGTGTTTTCTTTAAAAGTTGATTTTCTTGCTTCAAATCCCTATAGATTATTTATTGAGATAAGATATAATTAAGAGTTTTAGACTAAGAATTTTGGTAAATTATTTACTGAGACAAGACATAATGAAGAGGGGTGTTGCAAATTAAAAAAAAAAGGTAAAAGGAACAATTGTATCGTTGATTAACGGAAGTTGGTGAGAGAGACTTGTTTAATTTAAAATTAAAATTCAAGGATTTATTTAAAAGTCATAAAAGAATATGGGTTTAATAGATTTTTTTTTTGTATAGTTTGGAAGCTTATTTGAGTATTTAATCAAATATATTATTAATTAAAAGTTAATTTTTTTTAAAATTTTATTAGGAAAATTAACGATCTAACTTCATGCAGGTTAATAAAAATTATTCACAATGTATTAATTGAAAAGAAAAATTCATATGGTGCTAATTGAGAAAGAAAATTATAAAATATCATGTGAAAAAAGTTAAAATCATAAACGGCGTAGATAAAATTTATCTTAAAAATAGAATTTATTAGATGTAAGAGATTTTTATGTAATTTTAGATTATATATATTAAAAAAAAGCTAATTATGGTTGTAGAAAAAAAAAAGAAAGCTTGAGCAATTCACAAAATAAATCTTGGTCATTCAATTGTGTTATGGAACCACAATGAACGTAAAATACAAGGAATTTTGGCTTAGGAAAAAGACTATATTTACAACCTGTGAACAATTTTACCACCATATTTTATTTTAGCCAAAAGGCAGTAGAAATTTTGCAAGTCTAACAAAAATTTAAAAAAAAGGAAAAACTAAAAGAAGTATAAGGCTTTGACCGCAGCCGCATTAAGTCAAAGATATATATTTCCTTTTTCTTTGTTTGTTGTAGTAGACCGGTTCTTTTTGAGATGCTTTCACATGCTTATTGAATTTATTGTTAGCCTCCACAGTTAGGGACTTTACCCTACGAAGGGCCATGCGGATGCTTGTTGACACTGATATTCTCTTCTTCGATCATAAATGGACTTTAACATATTATGTGAAAATATTAATATTATGAAGTAAGTGATAAAAACAAAAAATGTGATAATGAAATATGCAATAATAAATTATTCTTGTAAGCGTATAAAAGATTAAATATTTTCCATCATTTATAATGAGATAATAATAAAAAAGGGCCTTTGGTAAATTTTTATCAATCAATGGTTCATTTTTATTATTTAAGACTTAGAGGGAGGGTTGGACAAGTAAATGTGGGCTTCAATTTGGGGAAAAGCCATGGACCACTGTATCACCAAGAGCATGGGCCCGTTTTATCCTTTAATTTATCCAAATTCCCACGTAGGCAATCCTAAGGCGACCATTGGCTTTTGATGGCCGGCGAAGTTGAAGGGTAAATTGGGAAGAGAACAGTCAAACTGCTTTTGTTCACAATCCGCGCATTAATTGACTTCCCAATTGCATGTGTTTCTACTAACTAATAAGAAAAACGCCTCACACAGGAAGCTTCCACAAATTTGATGTCTTAATGTCAAAAAGTCAAGCTATTCAACCGAATTTGAGTCATAACCACAAAAAGAAAAAAAAAACAATTGGACCAAGTTTAAAGTCGTGTTATATTCCTAAACTTCTGTTACAAGTACACTTCGTATAGCAACTTCAATATAAATTCAAACAACTAAGCAATTAATTTTCAAAAGTCAAAAAATGAATATTTTTTTATTTACGTCAATAATGATTGTTATTGTTTTCCTAACACCAAACTCATTGCCCTCGCTTATTTTTAATATATTAGTGCGTGCCATTATTTTAATGTTGCCACCCACGTCCTAGGCCGAGCCCATGTGACGCGTGTACAATGTGGCTACATTTCTGAAAATGGATAGGGATTCCACTAGGAATTTCAAGGTGAATGCGAGGGCAAATCAGTAAGATCAGAAAATCCTTAGTAGACGGCCACGAGTGTTAAGTTCTGTAGGCCCCGCACCCCGCCTCAGCTTTCACAAATTCGCTCCATACGAGTAACGAGAAACGGGCGAGCCAACCTTTTCACTTATTTTTCCATTTTTGTCCTCTTCGTTTCTTCGCTCTCAAAACAATCTCCGCCACCTGACTCACCGAGTCCGTAAAACCGAAGAGGAAAAATAATAGGGTGGGACTCTTAAACCGAAATGGTGTCGGACTCGGAGCTAATCGCCCGGCTCCGGGAGTTCTTGAAAGAGTCGGACCTGAACACGACGACGACAGCAATCGTGCGGCGGAGATTGGAGGAGGATTTCGGGATTGATTTATCGGAGAAAAAGAAGTTTATTAGGGAGCAAGTCGACTTATATCTGCAAAGCCAGTTCGAAAATGCCGAAGAAGAAGAAGAAGAACAACAGGATGAAAATAACGAAGAAGATGATCAGACGGCGAAGATTAAATCAGAGGAAACCGACGGCTCTGATTCGAACGAGGAAGGGGAGGAGAGTGAAAGAGCAAGGAATAAAAGGGCCTCCGCGAAGAAAGGGTCAGTTATTTATTTATTAATTAATAATTATTCAAAATTTCACGTAATAATGAATGAAATGTATTTATTTATTTTTAAAAGTCTTAGATGATGCGTGGTTTAGAAATTAATTGTGAGGTTATAAGTTGGTTATAGTTATGCTTAGTTTTATATTAAAGTGAAAGTTGGATTTTTTTAAGCCTTAATTATTATAATTATTTTATAATAAGGGTGTATTTTTTAAGCATATAAGTTGGGGAAAATGTTTTGAATGTCAAAATTTGACAGAACCTGTTTGTGTTAATCTGAACAGGTGTATAATTTAAATCCAACTCAGTGAGTCACTCTCTGAGATTGCCGTGGAACTCATCCGCTACAAGGTTGATGAACCATAGTTCTAGAAATGAAAGGATAATAATAAGGCGTTAAAAAAATTAATGCAGGCATGACTTTAATATTATATTGTCATTGTAGAAAATGAAAGTTTCTTATAATTTCCACCCTTGTTGATTTGGAGGAGCTTAAACAATTTTTTTTTTTTTGAGTTGGACGAAATTTAATTAAGTGCTTTAGGAGTGAAAATGTTCCTTGAAAATGCTTTACTGATCTCAGTTTCCATGGCACTAGGCTATTTGATTAATATATAGCTGCTCCAAATTCATGTGCGCTTATTTGTCCTTTGACACATTTTTTTTTACGGAGACAATTTTTTCTCTTTTCCCTTTTGTCTTATAAATTGTAAGATTTTTGCTCATGGTCTGTAAGTGATCTTTTCTCATCCAAGGCAGTACCGATAGATAAGTTGTACAGAAGGATTTTGTTGACTGCAATACATTAAAACAAGTGCAAGCTATGTTAACTTCTCTATTTGTAATTAAATTTGGCCTTTGGAACAGGAAATGCAAGCCTTTTTGTGCACCCTATTGATTGTGCATTTGATCTTTGGTTGTTAAGGTGTAAAATTTTTCAGCCTATATTTTGAAATATGTTTTTTTGCCCTCCTTTTCTCCTTCATTGAATCTGTTGATTTAGACTCCTGAAAATTCTCGACAATCTGAATTTTCTTGTTTGTTCTCAATCTTTGATGTTTTCGGGGGCTGGAAAGGAGGAAATGGGTTGGCTGTAAACTTGTAATACTACAGACTCCATTTTTGCCCAGAAAACAAGACAGATTAGCTTGTGTTTAATGATGTCATTTAGATGACTTCAGATATTTCTTATCTAAAGTACATTGTTTGCTTCAGATTTGATCCAATAGTCTGTTTTTTTGTTTGTAGTATTAGAAAACAACAGTTGCTGCTGTACCAGAGTAGCAGGATTTAATGCTTAGGCTTTTGCTAAAGCTTATACATTGCTATTTCATGTTGGATAATGAGCATATCGAAAAGTGATTTTTGTGTGAATTTTTCATCTTATATCTTCAGCTTATCATCTACCTCAAATCCACTAATTTATCTAGAATATACCTAGATGAAGAATTTTCTCTCTACATATGCATGCAAGCTTTGAAGTTTAGTAGGGCTCTGAAGCAGATGTTGCAATTGCCGTCAAACTTATAGATGCTAGTTTACGAATTAATGATTGTATTAATTTATAATATAGGTCAAAAAGAGTCAATAATGAAGTTAAGAGAAGAGGAGGTGGTTTTAACAAAGTATGTAGCCTTTCACCACAACTTCAAGAACTTGTAGGAGTGCCTGCATTGGCAAGGACTGAGGTACCTCTAATATGTCCTGAATTTCTTTTCAGTTTCCTTTTTGTTGATTACATAATTAAGGTAGCTGCTTTGTTCTAAATTGTCTGTTTAATATTGGTGCTAGGTAGTCAAGCAAATATGGGCTTATATTAGAGAGAAAAATTTGCAAGACCCCGTTAACAAGAAAAATATAATTTGTGATGAGCCATTGCAAGCACTTTTTGGAGTTCGTTCCATTGACATGTTTCAAATGAACAAAGCCCTGTCAAAGCATATCTGGCCCTTGAATTCAGATGAAGGTATTAGCATATCTCTTTTGCATTTGCTAAACATTTTAAGATGGCTTCATTTGATATATTAGATTTTGGCTCAAATTACTTAACTCCTGGAAACTGTGAGTAAAAATCGCCAGTTCTCCATATAATTGGCCATTGTTGGAAATAAGGGCTTTATTTAATTAATTTTCAACTAAATCAAGGAGCAATATCTTTTGTGCATGATCAATATGCTGCACATGTTTTATCACTTAAATCTGTATGTTCATCTTTATAAAGCGCTAAATTTAACTATAGTGGCTTTCATGGCACAGTTGTTTCAGTCAAGTCAACAGAGAAGGAAAAGCAACGAAAGCACGAGAGAGAAGAAGGTAGGGATGGTAAATGACTAAATTAAAGTCTTCTATTTGACTCATGATGCATCCTAGCAGAACTTGTTTTGTATTGATATGAGAAGTTAGTATGGCTTATACTCACAACTTTTCTACTTTTGCTAGCAATACCTTGCAGCTAGGATTTTGCTTCCCCACTTTGAGTGCAAATTGGTAAATTGGTCTTTTGATTGTTGTTTCCTGAAAGAACCTTCTCATTTAGTGCTGTTGTTAGAGACACCTATTGCTGCTAAGTCTGGCTTGCTTGTGTTTTTGGTTCTCATATGTCTTTGTGTGCTTAGTCCTGAACATCCTGCATGTTTTGAGTCAGGTTTTCACTGGTTGTTTGCTTGAAATAATCTCCTCTTTTGTCCAATCCTGAACCTGCAACGTGGTGATATCTCTGACCTTTGTGACTTTTCGCTGCCCTCCTCTGTGTCTTTTTTGTGCACACCTGTCATGTGTCTCACTCTATGTATACTGTATCAATTAATTTATTACTGTTGTTGAATTATGATAAGCATGTTAGTAGACAGTTCACTATCATATATTCTTACCTTTCTGGTTTGCTGTATTCTTCTTTGCCATTTCAGATCCAGATGAGCCAAAAAGAAAGGAAAAGCGGCGGAAGGGATTTCTTGCTCCTCTTCAACTTTCAGATGCTCTAGTGAAGTTCCTTGGTACTGGAGAAAGTGTGCTAACGCGGGCTGATGTAATAAAGAGAATGTGGGATTATATAAAAGAAAACAACCTCCAGGTATCTGCCATCTCCCACAAGGGCCTTTTACTGAAATTGTGATCCTAAGCACATATAATAAGGCGTAACAAGAATTATTATCAAATTTTGTTTAATTTTTTGGCTTTTGCATGAAGGATCCATCTGACAAGAGAAAAGTAATATGTGATGAAAAGCTGAAAGAACTCTTCGATGTTGAAACCTTCACTGGCTTCACCGTATCAAAACTCTTGGCGGCTCATTTTCTCAAGACCTGACAGTGAGATGCTCCGCAGAGAAATAAGGGTTTTTGTCTGAGATATAGGTTCATGTTTCCAGTCCTTTCGTTCTAGTATTTCTTTTCCCGATGATAAATGAGTGTATCTTTGCAATAGAAAACCTGAAATTTAATTCATTGTTTTCCCCTTCAAGACGCTCAGTGTCAATGGGATTTTCGAACTTGATCTTTGCGTGTAGGCCATGCATTTATAAAATTAGGTACAGGGACCTTATCTGGTTGGGAGACAACCAATCAGTAGTTGCAGCAGAAGTGAAAATATCAATTGAATTTGTTTCTCTTTTCTTGCGTGCATTTGTATTTTGAATCTTCCTTCATCTTTGTGCAATCTCAAGCCAACGCTGCTAGCCGCTAAAATTGACGTTCTGGAAAATAATAGTTCCGTTGCCGGGGTGAAAGCCAGACATCCTAGCCACTGGACGACGGCGGATGGACAATCCTACCGCGTGGAATAAATATATCTCATCATACGTTAAAACAAGGAGACTATACCAACAGTATACTGAACACAATTCAAAATTGAAGAAACCTGCCGTCATTTCCAACCTTATTACTTTTTCAAAGAGCTCAGCTGCAGCATACAAGTCGTCAATGGAGACCTGAATGATTTTTATTTTAAAGCAAGTCCATTCCTGGGTGAACGTTTAAAGCAAGGGAGAATTTGCTGTAAGGCAATCTGAGCAAGATAACCACGAACATGGATTCCAATCAATCTGGATAGTATCCTATGAAATGAAAAGAAGGTCACCACCATATTCCACCGTTGTATATAGAGAGATTTGATACATATCAGAGCTCAAACTAATTCCTGTGTGCATAAATGTAATCAAAATTGATTGCCTTGACGAAAACTTCAATTTTAAGTAATCAAACATTCAATGCCAGACCTCCTTAAAGATAAATGCATTCACAAGAAGATGGAATATATATGTGGCAACGAGAAGAATGAGAAGTTTAGCCAAGACCAGCCCTCCTTACAATATGAAATATGAAATATGAAATGCAGAAAATTTAATAAAATTATCTTTTCTTTTTTATATATATACATATATAATATGATATATCCATTATTTTTGCAGAAAACTTATTTCCTATCCACTCATGACTATTAGCTGCATTAGTCTCTTCTCTTTTCAATTTAAACAACTATTATCGACTAAAAAAATATTAAACAAACATTACTACTGATTTAATTTTGAGTCAACCGTTTATTAGTGGAACCATATATAAACACATGAACCAGAAAAAAAAAATGTCATTACAAAGCAATAGCTTTGTGTGTATAAAAGCATAAGCCCACGAAATATAAAAGGAAACCAGTAGTGGCTTAAAATAACACAGTGGAGTGAAGTGTGTTCTGGTTTACTGATTTTAAGAAACTATAAAATTTGAGCATGTTGTTTCTTACAAAAGATGGGAGACCACGAAGCCACTGAACCAGGACTTCACTGGCATTTCTTACAAAAGAAAGGGGAAGAGCACGAGGAAGAGCGGTTGCCATGAGAAAGGAGAGACAGTGGGTAGCAGAAGATGGGATGGTGAGAGAGAATGGGATGCAGAGACAGAGAGCGGGAGGAAGGAGAGCTTAGCTAGAAGACGATGGGATGGTGAGGGAAATGGGTTGGAATAGGGGAAGGGGTACATATACCAGCTCCATATGAGTTTTAGCTCCTCCCTTTTCAATTTAATCAATAATTTTTAATTTAATTGGAAAATGATAAAAAAAATATTTTATTAGAGCACGAGCGTTTAAACAAGCTAGAAAAAAATATTAAATAAATATTACTATTAATTTGATTATTGTGAGGCAGCTTTAAGCTTTATCGATTATGATAAGGCAGCTTTAGTCAAAATCAAGTCCATCAAGTGCTAATGTTTTTGCCATAATTTAAGTTGATCATCTCCTAATTACAGTGCTAATTAATTATGGGAGGTTAATGTCTATTTCGATGCTTTTGTTTTAGGGTTTTAGTTTAACACAAACATATTTTTGTGCTTCCATGTAATAATAATAAAATAAAAAATAAAAAGCAATATATAAAATATAAATATTAATTTGTATTAAGTTCAAAAATAGTTGATTTGCACAAGTTGCCCAACAACATTGTCAAAGGTAATTTCAGAATTTTTTTGCCATTTTTTGCATTGATTTACATGTGGGGCTTTGTATGGACGGAGAGACTATCGAGCATGGTATCCAAGGCACGAAATGGATCATGATTTCGAATTTTATAGTTTAAGATAGACATTTTAACAAATGGTGTGCAAGTTATTTAAATTATTTTAAGATTATCAAACATGTATATTTCTTCAAATAAATTAAACTTTTTGATAGCAAAATTAGTTCTATAACATTGCTAATAGGGTTAGCTTACGATCTTATTAACGAGTTAAAATGATTGGTAACAATCGCGTGAAAAATATTATCCATATGATGTTTATCATGGATTATGGTTGTGATTGTAATTAAAAATAACGAAATTTTGTAAATTTTAAAAACTTAATTTATAATTTGCTTGATACAATGTTTGAATAATGATATTTATTTGTTTGACTTATAAATTTAAAAAATTATTTATTTTAGATATAATAATTCTTTTTACTTTTGAAAGTATCATTTATTGAAATGTTATTGATTCATGCATATAATATATATATTTATATTTGATACCCTGACAGTGTATAGTTTCTATACACTATTAGCTCATCAAAATGTGTCACATCATTAATGAGATAAAATAAAAATCGATACTTAAAATTAAACATAAAAAATTTATAATGATTAATTAATAAAAAATAAAATATTTTCACTTTTCTATCTCTCTCAACCATTATTTTTCTTATTTTCCAATTTTCTATTTCTATCTAACTCCATCAACTACTTCTTCTCTTCTTCTTCCATTAAAATTAGGTTTTATAAAATTTTGTAACTTACAGAGCAATTTTTAAATTCTTTTCTTATTCTTTAGAGATTGAGGAAACAAGATTGAAATAAATAAATTTAAAAATTTATTAAAAAAAATTTAAACTTAATTTTTACAAAATAGATAAATTAATATACCAATTATGGAATCAAATGATCAAATAAGAATATATTTATATATATTTCTTAACACCATAAATCTTTTAAACTTAGACATTTAGTTTATTAATAAGTATATGTATTATTTACTTAAAGATTTATATTTTTTAAATATTTTTTCAATTTAGTCTCTAAACACTTCAATTTTATTCAATTTAATCACTGTACTATAGATTTTTGTTCAATTTACTTCTTATGACATGGCACAACAAAATTTTAATAATTTTTTCTTGATCTGCCATGTCAGCATTGCACGTAACACTGACACATCAGCATGTCGGTGCCACGTTAATATTGCCACAACATTACATTAGTGCCACATGATACATCATGTCATTACATTGGTACTATATGGTACTACAATGTCATCATGTTAGTGCCACATTATCTAAATGTGTTATGTTAATACTGATGTTATTTTTTAACGGTAAACATAGATACAATTAGAAAGAAAGATTAAATTAAAGTAATTTTAAAATTAATAAATTAAATTATTTTAATTTTAAATATAAAAACTAAATAAAATAAAATATATGAATATAGAAACATGGTAAACATTTTGATCAAATTATGAGCGTGGTGAATGGTCACAAAATTTTGAGTTTTTGTCACATTCACTACGGCAAATGGAGGAACTATAAAGCAGCAGTGGAAATGATTGAAATGACAGCATTATTTATTTATTTTTAACAAAGGACACAATCTAAATAAAACAATAAAAATATCAACGAAGGAATTATTATTTTTTACATTGTTTGTGAAATTTTCAAACTTTACAAATAACATTGATTTTGATGGCATAGCATTTAAAGAATAATATAATAGTAATAATGATATGACATAATTAAGTACTAATATAAATTTTATAATTATGAATTTGAAGTTATCTAATGTGAGTTAATAATTTTAAATAAAATTAAAATAAATAAATAAATAATATAAATAAATTTTTAAGATTAAAGAAATAGTGTAGTGAGATCGATAAAAATTAAATTTTTGTGCTTAACAATTTAAAGTATGGAAAAGAGTGTTATGAAATAGATAAAAAATATGTAAATTATCATTAACAAATCATCATATTTAAATGTCACATCAATAATAACGTATGATATCAATATAATTAATAAAAAATTTTAATAATATTAATAATTAGATTATATTATTAACTTTAAAAAATAAAAAAAATTAATTTTTATAAATTATTTTATAGTAACTAAATTCACCATTATCAGAGTATAAGAATTAATTACATAATAAAATCAAATAATTTTAATATTTTAATAATATAATTTAAATAAATGAACTGGACCGAGCTCCGGTATGAATTTAGATTTTAAAGGTGTCAAGTAGGCTCCACCAGTCTCATCCATGTCACCTCTACTATAAAATGATTTTATAATTTTATTTTGAGCTTAATCTATCGTAATTGCATACAAGATTTTGTTTTTTAAAAAAGGGTTGTTTCACAAGTTCCTTAAAAACACTTAATTAAGGATATCATCCATTCAACTAAACAAATAAGGTGTTTTAAAAATAGTTTTGAAAAAAAAATGTGCATTATTAACACTATTATCAATTATATGGTTATCTTTCACCACAAGAGTTTCATTTTTATTAAAATGTTTCTTTTCGATAAAATCCTTTTGCATTTTAATTGAATCTATTAGTCTTTATGTTTTTGGATAATTTCCAATTTGGCTTGCAATATCCAAAGAGTTTGTAATTTACCCTAAAAAAAAAAAGCAGCAGAGTGTTATTTCTAAAGATATTTTTACATTCAATTTAGTGGTTTTTTATAACTTTGTGATTTTTAACATCTCAAATAAATAAATAAATAATAAATAATATATATACATTGTTTTACCAACAAATAAGTAAATAAAATATGTATTGATCAGATTCCAATAAGATCATGATTAGCGCAAAAGGGAAATTCCAAGATGTCAATGCCTCCATAGTCCATTTTGATTGTGGCTGTTTGTCTTGGTGCCTGGGCATGGCAACAGCACTTTTCTAATCCATATTCTTTTTTTTCTCACGGTCATAGAACCTAAATTTAGACTCTAGGTCCCACAATTTTGAGAATTATTTTTTTAAAAAAATCATCTAATACACAGAAGCTGAATTAGAGGATTGATATTTAAAAAAAAAAAATTGAGAGAATGGGGAATTTGGATTTTATTTTTTAAATAAAAAAATTATACATCAATTAATTAATTAATCAATCATGTATTAATCAATAAAATAAATATTTTAGTGCAGAATTGACATGTTATATTTATAAAAATTAAGTATCAAATAAAAAGATAAAATAAAATTTAACATCAAAAGAAAATAATGGTGTCATTCCATAATATGCTTTTTTTTCTAGATAAGTTTAATAGCTCATGATAAAGCTTGGCAAGTTGTACTCTTATCTTTATTTCATTTTTTTCTTTGTGATGTATCCATTTCATATTTCTTTCCTCTCCCGGTTATTGACCATAATTCTCATTTTCGTAAATAAAAAGATGGAAGAAAAAATCTGTTTTGCTACAAAATTCAATTAATTCTCATTTTTATGCACATATTCCTTAACATAAGAAAAAAAAAATAATTATCAAATAAAAATTCTCAGCATCAAGATTTAAATGAAATTTATAAAGAGGAAGGAGCAGCTGTATACTCCATGATCAGCGCGACGAAAATATCAAAATTTTGATAATAGTACAATTAAAAAGACACGATTGATGGTCGGAAATGGTTGTCATCTAGGATCAAAAGGCATCTTCTTCTCTATTGTCCTTCAACAATGAAAACAAAAACCAATCAAAGCCGAACACCAACAAAAGAATCCTTATCTTCCTATCACATATTTACAGATTAGACCAAACAAATCCTTAACTTTTGTTTTGTTTTGTTTTTTTTTTGGTTTTCCCTCCTTTTAAAATCCCACATGTGGAAGTATTTGGGAACTAAACTAATAAATAAATGAAAGGATGCTTTGGACACGTGTCGGCCGCACAATGAAGAGAATCTCGATAAAGGGAATAGGAAACCGATGAAACCAATGAAATTTCTTTTATTTCTGGAAGACACGATTCCCTTGTAACGGACGGGTATGAACAGGAGAATCTTCACCCTTTCCCTCCAATGTTCCTAGCCACGTGTTATCACTTGATTGGTTGCGTTTCTCTTGAGATTCTTATTTTGAGAGCCCAAAAAAATTAATTTCTTTCTATATTCAAATACCCCATCCCCAAAATAAAAAATAATAAAAATTATTATGGAAAAAGTATAGCAATAACAACAACAATCCAAAAAAGTCACTTTGTCAAAAGAATCTTTCACATGCCTAGCACGCCCTCATTATCTATTTATTTATTTTTTCCATCTTGACTAATAGCTCACGGCCAAAGTTTCCAAGGGGCACTTGATAGATAAGTTTGAATAAATGGAGTGGTCATTTAGGGGATGCATTCACCTTCTTCATTGAAAGAGGATTGGAAGGAATAAAGAGAAAACAATTTTTTCTTTATTTTTCTCAATAAATAAAATATATGAATTAGAACTTAATTCACTATTCTTTTTTTTTTCATAATTACCCATCATCTCATCATGCTTGATAGCAACAATTTTCCTGTGTTAGGTTGGAAAACTTTGAGGTATGTAACTTATGCTATGGGGTAATTTAATTCTTATCTAAGATATTATATAATGTTGACATTTGGGATTTCTATACATTTAAGCCATCAATGAAATCTTTAATGACAGGAGCTTTTCCAACAAGATTCACGAGATTATTGTATTGGCATGTTAACTAAGTATAGGTATGCATTATTATGATGGTCTTTTATTGATTTTTTTATTAAATAAATTTGATTTTGATTATTATTTTTAATAAATTATAATTTTTTTTAAAAAATTGTTAAATTTCAAAAATTTTAAAATAATGGTAATAATAAACAAAACAAAAACAAACAAAACGAGATAAAAAGAATAATATTTAATTAGGAATAATCCAGATGCAAGGGTATTGTTGGCAAAAAGAGACTTTTCGTTGCATAAGAAAGAAAGAAAAATCTAGAGACACTCGATCTTATCCGATTAAGACAAAAATGCCCACAAGAAATGCCAAAAAGACCGAATTGCCATTAACCTCTTTTGTCAAGACATCCCACTGTACATGGGTCAACTATTAGGGTCTCTGTTTAGTTTTTTTACACCGTCGATGAAGTCAATCCACACCTACCGAAGAATCTTGACAATGTAAAAAAGTAAAAAGAAAATTTAATTTCATCTCCGAAAAAAGTTAACTGAAAATAAAAAACGTTAAGATTTTTCAACAAGTCGCCGCGTGGGCTGTACGGAACCGAAAAGATTCTTTATGAAAAAACAAACTCGCTGAGTTATATGGCTGAGTCACCGAGTTACCTTTAAAATACGCGACGACCCGTCTGAGCAGCAGGCAGCGAATCTTGAATCTCTCTTACAAGTCTATATAAACATGACCTGCTGTTCCTTGTCATGTTTATCCGGGCAATGTTCGAGTAAGGGAAAAAAAAATAAAGAAAATAGCAGAAAAATAGGAAAATAATGGAGTTGAGCTTGGATTTAGGTTTAGCTTATGTACCGAAAAGCATATCTGAGTTTCTGGAAGAAGTTTCAGACATCAAAAATGGGTTTCAGAGATTATCAAAGATCAGTGATTATGTTAAAAGATTGGAAGATGAGATGAAGAAAATAGATGCTTTTAAACGTGAACTTCCTCTTTGCATGCTTCTCTTGAAAGATGGTATTTTTATTTTGTTTTTATTGTCCTTTCTTTTTCCTGATTTTTCCCTTTATTTAATTTGATTTTTTCTTGATGGGGTTGTAGGGATTGAGAGATTGAAGGAGGAAGAAATGCAGTGTAAGGAAATGAATGATGGATCGGTGACAGAAGAGCTGATGTTGCCATTGAAGAGTAATACTGAGGAAAATAGAGGGGTAAACATGGAAAATGATGGCGGTGACAAGAAAAACTGGATGAGTTCTGTTCAGCTCTGGAATTCCAATTTCAACAACGTTGATCACAACAAGAAAGCAAACGCAGTTCAAGAGCTGAAACTGGTAATTCCCAAACTAATTGTTTTTATTTCATCTTATTTTATGGAAAAAGTATTAATCGTTTTTGGGGTTTGAATTTGACAGGGAAGTGAAGATGAAGATCTGTCCGAGAAACCAATCGAACTTTGTAATAATAAAAGCAAGAAAGGGGCTTTTTTGCCATTTAAAGGACAAGTTGATGAGGAAATTTCAGGTCTTTCTCTTATGACCCCAAGTTCTGAATTGGCTTCTTGTAATCCAATCTTGAAGAGCGATAGCAGCTGCAGAATTGGTTCTGGTTCTTCCTTATATACAGAACAAAACCAAATTAAGTTTCAAACCAAATCACAACATCAACAACAGCAGCAGCAGAATTCTAGGAAACAAAGGCGGTGCTGGTCACCTGAGCTTCATAGACGTTTTGTTGATGCGCTTCAACAGCTTGGAGGTTCGCAAGGTGAGGCCTTTGGAACTATAGGTTAAACTTTTGAAGCAGATTCTATCAGATTGATGGGTTTGTTTATTTATTTATCTTTAAAGTATTGGTTGTCAAGTTGAATTGAAAGAACCTCTTATTGGCAGCTTCTGTTTGTTTTCAAATTTATAGAATTATGTCTTGTTATGACCAAAAGATTGGAATCTGGTTCTTTTAGGCAATACCTGAATCAAGTTCTTTTCGAAATATTCCAATTGAGTTCTTTTGGTATCTTAATTTTTATTTTTGATTGTTAAAAAAATCTGATAAGGTTTATACTCTTTCGCAGTGGCCACTCCTAAACAAATTAGAGAACTGATGCAAGTAGATGGTCTCACCAATGATGAAGTAAAAAGCCATTTGCAGGTTAGTCTTTCGCATGTGAAATCTGCTCATGGTATTGTCTTATCATCCGTTCTGGTTTGCTAATTTTGTATGTGAATTTTGGTTTATGTACAGAAATACAGACTTCATATCCGAAAACTTCCACCTTCTTCAGCTGGGCAAGGAAACGGCCTATGGTCGGCTCAAAATCAGTGCAGTGTGCACATGAAAGCAAACATTTCACAGTCTGGTTCCCCACAAGGCCCCCTTCTTGCAACTGGTTCTGCTAAAGATATGTCAAGTACCGGAGGTGACAGCATGGAGGCAGAAGAAGATGAAAAATCAGATGGCCATAGTTGGAGAGGTGTGGTTCACAAGCAAGGAGAGATTGATGTATAGTCAGATAACTTATTCCCATGAATTTTGCAGAAACATGGGGAAACGGATCATAATTATAGTGACTTAGTGACAATAATTTAGTCAACAACTAGAGGAATTTGATATTAGTATCATGCTTGAGGAACTACCTTAGGGAGATTTCAAGGAGATTTTGCAGGTATCATGGACTGCTCTAGCTTCTCCCCATGACTCAAGTTCCTGCTCCGATATATGAGCTTGTGTAATTCCTAATGATGGATCGTAGGAAGCCAAAATGACAATTTTTTAGAGAGTTCTTTCATTTATGTTTAGACTTAAACTCTCCTTTATAACTGATGTACTTAATATCTGATATTTGAGGTTTGGTTTGCCGGGTTCCTGCCATTCCTGTGCTGTTTATTATGGAATTAGCTCTTTTGGGGGGAAACATATGCATTCTCTCTAATGGGAAGGTTAATGATGACCTCATCCTGACACCCAACATTCTGAGAAACTCTGTAAGAGAAACGCAAGAGAGTAAATTGTCTGCATTAGCAATCATTCTTTCTGCTCTTAATATTATCGATAGCAGAAACCATAATTCGTTTCTCCCGAGAATATAAGGTTTGATGTTTGGCTGACTGAAATTGATGGCAGGTTTGGGTCTCAGTGGGGTTCTACTTCATGATTTTTCTGCACTAATAAGGACCAACTCAACCACCTATGACACTTGAGCATCCTTGTTGTACAAATCTTTCTATTTAGCATTAACTGTTTTATAAAGGAAGTTTGTCTTGGTATATCTAGTTCTTTCCTACTTCCTCACCAAGAAGCAAACAAATATCACATAGGGAAAAGACTGGCATGCACTACTCCAACTTTGTCCTCTCAACATAAAGCAAAAGTCAGCAGTTTCTATAATTTCAAAGACCCTTTACATACATTAACATCAACCTTTCAAATCCTTCATCCCTTACCAAATCCAAGCTCATCATCCCTCCAACTTTAAGTAAAGTTACTCCAATTCCTCTTTAGTTAAAAAAGTTTAACTTGTTTTAGCCAATTCAGTCCTTTCAACGTCAATAAACATCGACCAATCAATTGCCATGCCCTTTGCATCTGCCCATGTTCTTTGTATTCTTACCATTATCATATTAATCCAGAGGTAGTTCAATCTCCAAGAACCTGCTTGATCTCAAGTGTAATTTTTTATTCTTGAATGATCGAATCAGGGGAGAGAACAAGATAACATTAAAAACCCAATGCTCTGACTATTAATCATTGCTTGATCAACTCAAACATTGCTTAAATAAATCGATTTACTACATATTATTTTTAATTATCCATCTATCTATCTATCTATCTATCTATCTATACATACATATATATTTACCAAAGGTTAAGGACAAAGGAGTCGCTTTCAGCATAAAAAACAACAAAGGTATTGAATCAGGGCAAAGGGATATGGTGAGCCCACATGAAGATTTTGGTTTGAAAATTGAATAGCCAGAATCAGAGCATTTTATTGGAATCTTTCCATGTTTCTTTACAATCTTAAACACTAAATAAAAAACTTTTCCTTTTTATTTACTGAAGAAAAATGAAAATATCAGAACTTATGTTGTTTATGATGGGGGCACTGTTGGTGGTAGTGAGATTCTCCTCATCCCTGGAAGCTGTTTGTAGAGTTTTAAGTATTGTCTTTGGAACACAGAGCTCCATGGCTTTCCTTAAAAAAGGTCTAGGGTCAATGGCATTATTTGACCAGTGGAATACGAAAACTCATGCCCTCTTATTTTGGAAAAATCTTTTCAATATTTGTCCATATTTAGAAGGGAGAAAATGAAAAAATTTTCGGATAAATGGAATTCAATTTATTGACACAGAGAAATTGTTTACACCCTTTAAAAATGTAAGACAATTTTTCCAAAAACAAGACTCTCTACCCTCCGCTCTCTTCTTTCCACAAACACTTCCTAATTTATCTAAATAATATAAAATATTTTTTTGATAAATTAATTTAAGTAGTAAAACTTTTTCTAGAAAGGGAAGATTTATATTTGATTTTTCTGAATGAAAATATATATTCTTATCATTTAATCAATATTCAAATAAATTAAATATACATGTAATTATACATATAAATTTGCAAAAAATTCAATAAATATCAATTTTTATTGGTGGCAAAATAAGAATCAGCTGAGCATTAGCAATTATCAAGTAATAAATTGTCATTTTCATTAATCTGGCTATGAACTAAACCCTCAAGCAAAATTAAAGTCCATAAAAATAATCAGCATAAAACTTTATAAATCCATTAATTTAACTTCAATGAGCGATTTATAGCAAGTTATGATTGCATGTAGTAATTTTTTTTAAAAAATGATTGCACGTAGTAATCAATTAAATTCAAGAAAATCGTACTATAAAATACGTGTACTATTTTAAATACGCCGCCAAAAAAAGCCTTGGGCCACAAAACGCAGCGCTTTTCCTGTCGTTTCCTTCGCCTTCCCTTCAAACTCCACCGCTTCTGCTTCTGAAAGCACGAAACGTTTTCCATCACCATTGCCACAAAAACCCTAGCTCTTCGTAAGTGTCTAAAAATCCCTCTCTTTTTTTCTAATTTAAACATATTAATCTCTGAAAATCCTAAGATTTTCAAGAAAATTAAGGACTAAATACGTTTAATTGACAAAGTTATTCCACTTAAAATATCGCTTTTTCTGGTAGACAACCATGAGAGAAATTGTAACCATCCAAGTCGGAAGTTTCGCTAACTTCATAGGTTCTCACTTCTGGAACTTCCAGGTTCAGCTAATCTTTACTTATTTCATTTATAGTTTCTCTTTTCCTTTTGTTTTTATTTTGATTAGTTATTTTGTAAGCTTGTTAAATTGAATTTTTGTTATGATTAAAAATGAAGGATGAAATGCTTGGCTTAGCCGCCGATCCTTATGGCGACCCACTGTTCAAAACTGACGGTCTAAACATGGACGTTCTCTACCGTACAGGTGAAACGCAACAGGTGCAACTTTTTTTTTTTTGGGAATAAAACTTACTTTTTGCGTTGAAAATAAGTAAACAACCAATTCAACCAATTGTGGCTGATGTTTTTATTGCCTAAATACCTAAAACAAATTTTTATATTGGTCTGGTATGTAATTGGCAGTAACCGTCTTAACAATTGTTACATTACAAGACTTTGGCGGATTTTGTTTTAGAAGGTTTACTGACTTAGTAGTAGTTAGTCAGTTATTGCTTCAGCATTTCTTCTGGGGATAAAATGGTTTATGTTGTTGCACTTTGCAGGGGACTCTTACTTATACTCCTCGTCTTCTCTCGATTGACTTTCAAGGTGCTTAATTTTCTACTTGCAAACTTGATGAGTTCTCTATCTAGTCTACATTGCGAAGTACTAAGATCAATTATTGTTATCATTTTAATTCTCCCAAGTTGCTGACAGCACCTTAGTTTAAGCCATAACTGGTTCTTTTCCATTCATCTAGGTTGCATGGCAACAGTAATATCAGTGGCATTTCTTCCTTTTTTTGTTTTTCATAACCCAGTCATGGGAACTTTTGTTCCTTGCAGGATCCCTTGGACCAATGAGTTCACAGGGTACGTTGTATAACGAGGGTTCTAATGCATCATCTGAAGTAGTTACATGGTGAGATTTTTCATCATAACTAATTGCAATAGTAGTTTTGCCGTATTGTTTCTTCTGCTTGCCATTGGTCTTTGAGCTTTACCCCTTCAAAAAAAAAAAAACTTAGTGAGGAGTAGCTACTGTAATTATGTTGGTTTTGCCTTTTTGAGTGGCTCTTAGATGGTTGAGCATCAGAGTTCAGTACCTGACTCAAGTTGATCTCTTTATCAATAATTCTTGTTCTAATTTATACATAATTACTGGTTTTCTCAGACAATTCTTGCCATGTAATTAATGTATTGTTGTTCAGCCTAATTAGTTAGTAACATAATTTGATATTCTGTTTTAGACATAGAGACGACTTTAACTTCTAATTTCTGTTATTCGCTACTAATGAGAAATGCTCATGGTTAAGTTTTAGAGCTGTTAAAAAGATTGTAATAGGTGCAGTATAGATTCCTGTTTTATTGCTTAGCACTTTATATTACTCCATTTATCATATGTTTGAACTTTTTCCTTTGTGAAGTCAATTTGCTGTTAGTAATAATACTGGTAATCAATTACATGCCGTTCATAGTTATCAGTTCTAAATTTGGGGACTTTGTGCTTTGTCCTTGTCTGAGCTTTGAGTGCATAAGATTTCCACATGCACTTACTTGAACGTCTCTAAAAGAATATGCAGGGCAGGAAATGTTTCCACTCATGCATCTGAACCTCAGAAGAAGAATTTGTTCTTGCAAAGTTTGTATCTGGAAGAGCAGAATGTTCCTTTGGTGAATGGTATCAATGGTGGGACAAAGGATCTTCAAAACGAAATTCAGGATACAGATATAGTCAAATGTTTAGATAGGGGAGTCCAATTTTGGACAGACTTCTCAAAAGTCCATTATCATCCTCAGAGTTTGTATGAGGTAAATGGATTGTGGATGGATGCTCAAGAATTTGACAATTATGGAATTGGGAGGGATGTCTTCACTGAGAATTTACGAGGTGAAGAAGTATGTGAGAGGCTTCGTTTCTTTGTGGAAGAGTGTGATCATATCCAGGTAAAACTTTGAGCTATAGTATGATCCTTCACTCATTGCATTATCACAATCCGTAAGTAGAAAATATGAAAAGAGAAAGTCAATTCCTTATTTGACAACATTTAAGGCATATGATTGCCAAGTTTACATGGAGGATGTGGGTCTTGCTTCATGAATTTTTCCTGGGGTTTGAACTTAATGATGCCTAGGGTATTCTGGAAAGCTCTCCAGGTTTTCCATTTGACTTTAGGCTGGAGCCCCTCTAGAACATCATTTGTATTCTGATTTCATAATGTGCTCTTTTAACTTGTTTGTGAATCATTGGCGATGTTAACAGGGTTTTAAATTCATTGCTGACGACTCAGGAGGTTTCTCCCCTATAGCTGCTGATTTTCTAGAAAGTATCGCAGATGAATACTCAAACACTCCAGTGTTGTTATATGCTGTTAGGGGTCCTGGTTCTCATATGAACCTAAGAAGTAGGAAGCAGACAGTCGTCAGAGATCTTCATGATGCAGTATCATTCTCAAGATTATCACCTTTTTGTAAAATGATTGTGCCTGTTGGTTTACCATTTTTGAGTAGGAGTAAGTCACACTAACATTTTAATGACTTTCTGGCTGTCTTCTGTGTCTTTTTTGCGTTTGCTTTATATGATCTTACATAGTTTTAATTTGGATGTCCTTTGGAATCTTGATCCTCTTAATATTAACAAGGATTTTTGAGTACATATGTGCATATTTCCTTTCTGATGCCTATAGCATATCTTATAATGGTCAGCTCAGTCATATTCACTCGAAACACCAAGGTCACTTGTTAATTAGTGTTATTTATGCTTATACTCTAGAAGAAAATTATCCTGACCCTTCTCTTCTTAATTAATGTGGACTAAAGATTCTGTTCATGTCATTTTGAAGGTAAAGCTTCAACTTACCTGAACATTGAAGATGAGAACCCTTACCACTGCAGTGCTGTGTATGCTGCGGGCCTACACTCTGCAAGTCTCCCATTCCGGATGGAGGCACCTGGTCCCTCAGCAGATACATCTGATACTGCTGGTGCTTTGGATGTTAATGGCATTGTACAAATGCTAGCAGGGCAATCTAGGCAAAATATGGTGGCCATTCTGGATATTGCAATGCCGGCCCCTGCTATGACAGGTATAATGTCAATGCCTTCACTTCAGGCTCTTTTTTAAATAAAAAATGAGCTAGTTCTTGCTTGGGGAAAGAGAAGTGTGTAGTTAATGGTTCAGAATTCTTAAATCCAGGGAGACAGAATGAGAAATCCTTGCTTGGGAATTTGCATCCATTGACTCCAGAGGTTGCAGACGATATGGATGATTTGCAGGCTGTGGAATCAATGACTGTGCATGGAGCAATTGGATCAGGTACCGTTTAGGATCTGTCCATATTCTTAGTTAAAAGATATTTTATTATACTAATTCTTATTAATGTTTGTCTGCCAATAGAAGAAATGTTTATATGCTGCTGGTTAGGCACATTATTGATGAGCAGTTTAGTATACATATTCATTAATGTCCAGAGGAAGTTTAAAAGCAAAATCGATATACAGTTAGCAGTGTTAGAAAAATCTTTGATTTTTATATGTACTCTGAAAGAGGCATTGGTAACTCTGGTAACTGAGATTATTTGCTTTGCTACAGAAGATCATCGTGCTTCAGTTTCCGAAGTTAAGAATGCAATCAATGCTGAATATGAACATGCGACCACAAGGCCAATGTTCTGCCACCTATCAGTGGCTCGTTGTCCTCTCCCAATTCCCTTGCCATTCCCTTCAATCTTCGTTAATCTTGTTGGCCAGCACGGTGAGCTGCTGGGAAGTCCAATCTTAGGTTCTTCATCTAGAGGATCACTTGATGTTCACTCTATCCCCATGGCAGCTAGACTGCGTTCTAGCTGTGCTATCTTGCCATTTCTGGAGAATAGACTGGGGAATCTTCGTAAATTTGGTATTGAGCGAGGATCTCTTGGGACAGAGTTACTTAGAAGTTGGGGATTCGGAAGGGATGAAGTGGAAGATCTTGGTGAGACATTGGCTAAAATGGTCAAGACAGTCAACCCTCATTCTGAAATATCATCAGATTCAGATTAAGTTCCAAGCGGATGAGAAGTCAGGTTCATTCTCTGTTCTATTTTTGTCTTTCTCTGGGATCTCTTTACATTTCGAGTAAGAATCCCCCTCTCACAATTACCTCCAAAAAAGAGAAATTTTGCTTGCGGTCGATACGTGATGGGAAAAATACTTAATACAGGTGCAATGGAGGATGGAGATGGTAGTGTTGCTTGTCGGACAAATTAGAGGCGAAATCATCGTTTTGCTTCAAAGCTGTTCGCCAGTTCCCGATTGCGAGCAGACAAGCATACCTTAGCAATTGAAATTTTGTATTCTGGAGAACCACAATGTTAAGAATTGTGTTATTTCTTTAAATGTATTGCGGAAATATGAAAACCCTTTCTTTATATCTGTAAAAAAGAGAGAGTAGTTGTTGTTCATGATTGCGAAATTAATCTGTTTTGTTATTCTAACTTTTATAGATGGAAAAAATTAATAATAAACACTATAAAATATAAATGCATTGCTTATGCAGCATCAAAATTCAAATTTCTATTTGTTACATCGGCCAAGTCCTTTCACAGTTGGATATCCGAATGCTATGTTAGGATTATGGTATATTGGCTGACTGCCTAATTGGCACTTGCTCTATATTACTCTACTAAACTTTACTAAAATATAATAATGTGATATCAATTTACGTCAAATTAGGTAATAAAAAATTATTTTTTTTAAAAAAATAAAAAACTATTTATTACAAAATTTAATGTATTTTGATGTTTAGATAAATTAAGGGAAATATTTTTTTTATCATGATCTATTTTTAAAAGTTTTTCACCATGAGAAAATATTTTGCCAATGAGGGTTGACTGACAAGTTGGGGAAAAGAAGGGAGGTAAAAGGCTGAAAGATCTGTTTTTGAAAAGCTATCTTTAACTTCTCAGAGTGTGTAACAAAAAAGGAATTAATTAATTAATTTTTCGTTGACTTAAGTATTGTTTTGTATTTCTCTTTTTTCTCAATAAAAAATGTTAAAAAACTTTTTCGAAAAGCATTTTGCTTACTTTCCAATCAAAGCTTACAAAATAGTAACAAATAAATTCGAGGCTGTCGGTGCATGAAACCGACAACATAAGGTTCCATCAACCCATGCAAAAAAGGAGGTCGGCTTTGTGAATTGTTAAATGCAGTAAACAAAATGTATTACGCGTATAGCCTAATATTATCCGTCCCCAAGATTCAAACGTGTAGTATTCGACTGCTTTGATTACGGTCAAAGAAATCAAAAGAGAGAGAGCTTGTAAGATTTGACATTTTTAATTCAAATTTCCAGTCGAGTTTGTAAGATTAGATAAAATCATATCTTGTTTGTATAATTCAAAATTTAACCACATATTAAAAAAATCATAAAAAAAATTAGAACTGAATCACATTTAAGATCGGAAAGGAAAAGAAAAAAAAAGAAGAAGGGAAAAGGCATTCACCCAATTAGAGAAGAGAGAGAGAGAGAAGCTCATACTTTCTTCATATTATTCGTCCCTACTTGACGAGGCTTCAATTATTTTATGAGGAACAAAATAACAGAAATGAATTAATATTCTTCCTTTTTGTCTCCATTCTGATGTCACCAAGACCCTTATTTAATAAATACGAACAAGGTTACTTCGCTTTCACATCTCCACACGAGGCATCATCCCCCAGCCCTTTTTTTTTTTTTGGGCTTTTGCTGGCTTCTCATAATTGGCAAACCCAGTTTTTTTGACCTAGTTATCGTACCATTCATGGCTTTCCTTAAAAGTAAAAAAGTGGAGAGAGCTAACCTAGGCAGGAAGCAACTTGCAGGGTTTTCCATGGCATTTGGCACCATCTCCCTATGGACTCACTTCTCAATGATTTCATATCCATGTGAATGATGCTATGTATATAATTTAACGCTTTGGGTTTTCTTCATGACAAAACGTATATACTTTCATCATTGTCTTTTTTAGATGAAAAATTATGGGTAGGGTGAGTGTGTACTAATGAACTCAAGTACCAAGTAATTAAATGTATATGCAAGTGGATCCAATTGTGTAGAAGGGATGGCTAATTCACGGTACTGTGAATGTTAGGACTGCAAGAAGCAGTGACAATTTAATGATGGAAATAATATAGAGCAGCACCCTCATTATGTTTTAATTATTATTATTATTATTATTATTATAAGGGAATTCACATGCTTCCTCATCAAAGCCTTGTTATGAAATCTATGTGCCAGATCACTCAAATTGGACACAACAATTCTAAAATATCAGAGGCTATAATTTTAAAGCCAAACCGGTCAAACAGGATCTCCCTGGAGGATTTATTATAACCTTAGATCAACCAAAAAATGATTTTTTTTTTTACTTATATATCGGATATGATATTAATAGATTGAATAATAATAACAATTATTGGCAGCAGTCTGATCTTCAATTATGTAATTTCTGTACATGGTACTAAGGTAGCTGGACCACCATTAAAGAAAGGGCAATGGCACCTCTCGTCTCTCTTTTCTCATTATTATTACTAGTTTTTTTTTTTTTACTCTCTTTTCGTATTAATTTAGATACTGATACTTACTGTATTTTCTTAATTTATTGACACAATTCTGGACTGACTAAATTACTTAAATCTCCAAAATCAAGGTAAGATATAATCGTGTGTAGGTGGTAGTCATAAGAGCTATGCATTCAAGATTAACACTTAAAGTTTATCATTGAATCAACCTTGTATCAAGGGTAGCATTTGGGATTTTAATTTGGTTGAAAAATCGAGAGGATTATAGACTCAAAACTTGAAAATAAAAGAATAACGACTTTTGTGAAAGAGAAAAAAATATTATCTCTCGTTACTTAGTTCAAAACTTTTGTGAGCTTTTATATATGCGAAAGAGAAATGTGATTAATCAAAAAAATACATAAACTTCACTATGATTGGAATGAAGGCAACTTGTCATTTACTGGAATAAGGGTATCCAATCCAAGAATAGTAAGCTATAAAATAGACCATCAGCATAAATTTTTACCCTAAAACAAAAAGAATATAATATCCGAGCCTTGTCCACCAAATAGCATCCACTCTATATTATTATATATAAGTAACATTAATTCTCGCTGCAGCTACATAAGTTGTGAATTCAAAGTAAAAGAAAAAAAAAAAGAAAAAAGAAAGCTTTTATAAAAACGATTTCCCATACCATCTTCTCTACTAAACCCAAAGGTCAAAAAAAAATAAAAAATTGTAGTCCCAAGACCAATACAGATCCCTACATTTTAATTGTATATTCCAAGGAGCTCTTCATCAAACCCCAAAAACCCAATGCTGACTTTGGATCACAGAGGTAAATCTCTCTCTCTCTCTCTCTCTCTTTGTTCACTTGTATGCGGCTGACTTCAGCTGCACAAAATGAAAGAAGAAACAAACAGAAAGGGAAGTCATGAGAGGAAAGGTTTACAAAGACTTGGAATTATATAAGAAGTTGACATAGAACATTTTTATAAGTAGAATATTAATATGTACAAGTACCATCTAGGTTACAGAATATACTGGTGGTAGGATTAGTAGTAATTGCTTTTGTTCTTTCATGGATGGAAAGGCAACTGTGGCTGTATCATAAGGGATATGCGGTACTGAAAAGCAACCTCTTTTTCACTGAAGACAATACCAACTAAATAAGATTAAAAATTTTCAAATCTTTTGACATAAAAACAATCCACATCCTACAGGAAGAGATGATGCAGGAGCTGACTGGAACTTCATCTCATCCAATGTCAATGCACTTTTTCCGAAAACACTACTCCTTTCTACACCATTACAAGGAAAGAGCACTCAACTTATTTCCCAAAAAAAGGTACTAGTACCACTAGTATCAATTTTTTTTTTTTTCATAAAAGAAGATTGAAAATTAGTGTCCTTTATTTAGGTAAAAGGAAACCATCTAATAAGGGCACTGTTGTCTTTCAAAGAGGGTGTGATGCAAATCTCAGAGGACAAGTCAAGATCATGGATTTGATCTACCACACCAAATTCCCACGAACCCATTGTCTAGCTACCTCCTTTTTGTCTTGTGCTTACTACAAAATCTAGTGCAATAACGTATCATTTATTTCTGTTTAAAACAAGCTAATCAAGTCAAAATGAAAAACACATTACTGTTCATTCATTTTATTCTAATGGTATAAAGATTATCCCAGCAAAATTTTTCTTCATCAAATAATAGAAAGTAAGGGATTAAAAATGTACGTTTTTCAAGTCAATCTAAGGCTCTGCTACCTCTTATAGATGCCACTTATAGCTGATGAATGGAATATCCCTCGACTGTGAAAAGACAATAATTCTCTTACCCACCCTTCTGCCTTATGCAATAAAGAGTAATTCTAGCTTTCCACTGGCACCAAACGATATTTCCCCATTTATGAAAAAACCCAACATACATTGCACACAAAGCCATCAAAGACCCTTCATAAATGCAGAGCTTATCTAGTATTCAGAAAACCCTCGTGGACAGGCATATACCATAAGTTAATAAACCATAAAACTAAAACAGGGAAAAATTAAAACACTTTACCTAGAATGAAAAATTGCTTTCACGAAAAAGCGGGAAGGCAGGCAGTCAATCTGCAAACAGAAAAAAAAAAAAGAGGTTTCTTTTTTTTTTTTAATAACTCAACAAGGACCAATACTCCTACCCTCCTCGCTTCCTGACCTTTGCTGTTGCTGCTGCTGATTTTGCTGTGCTTGTTGCTGTTGATTTTGCTGTGCCGGTTGCTGTGGTTGCACTTGCTGTGGCTGAAGCAAAAGCTGTGCTTGAAGTGAATGACCCCCATGAGAATGATGATGATGATCTTGTTGTTGTGTCTGAATCTGATAAGGGTTATCGAAACTCCCTAAAGCCAATGACGGTGACATGGTAGCTGCAGTTGTCATCTGATTAAACCCAGTTGCAGTAACTGAGCCAGCCCCTTCAAACCCACTATTAAACCTCACAATCTCTTGCTGTTGACCCTGATGATGTTGCTGTTCATAACCTCTAAACATTTCTTGTTGTTCTCTTGCGGCTGCCGCAGCAGCCAATTGTTGTTGAGCCTCAAAAATCTGTTGTTGTTGTTGTTGTGGTTCCCTTATCGCCAACTGCCCCACATGTGAAGCCGCCGCCGCCACCGCGGCAGCTGTAGGAATCCCCATCATTGGCATCATATTATGTTGCATCACAGCCGAAGAAGAAGGGTTCCCGACATGTTGTGGCAAAAAAGCTGGCGGTTGTAAAATAGGAAGCATAGCCTGAGGACCAATAAAAGTCGACAGTTCCTTCTTAGCATTGTAAAGATCGTGTTGCATTTGTTTAAGCCTGTGTTGCAGGATGGAGATCAGGCCTACACAGCCATAGACTGGGTCTCGGAGACGAGCCTCAGCCTCGTAGGCTAAAGAGTTGACAGCGTCTTCACGTTGGGAAGCGTTGAGTTCGTTTAAAAGCTTGGCTACATTGCTGGCACCGAATACCTTGTGAACGTTGGCGAATTTTTGAGGATTGTCTGGTGGGAAATAAGGTGCAAAGACGCATTCTTGAGTGCATTTTCGACGAAGAAACTTGCACGCGGCGCAAGGAGAATTTGATGATGACATCTCTTCTTCTTCTTTTTTTTTTATAAACTGAAAATGAAAGGAACCCAAATCATCAACATTCAAGACTTTGGCAAGATCTTAAAAAACCCAGAAAGAGAAAACAAAACAAGAAGAGATCTAGGGAGAGGAAAGAGAGAGAAATCGGATTTAATATAAAAGTATTAAAAGTGCATTGAAATGAGAAACCACAAAGAAAAATGCATGTAGGATTCAAGGAAGCTTCTTCATTTCTTTCATAAAAAAAAAAAGAGAGAGAAAAGCTCTATCTTTTATCATCCCAGAAGAGAAGAACAACCAAGAAACCAAGAGAGATAAGATTTTGATACCCAAAAAGCTATTTTTTTTCATTGAAAACCTTACCTTGGCTGAAACTGCCTGAGCAAAGTGGTAAAAAGATCAATCAACCAGCCAGAGCTGGCTCTTTTCTAAGAACAAATTCCCTCCAAAACGATCGATCCTCCGTCTTCCATAACTTACAGATCAAAACCTTAAACGACAAACAAATCATGTTGTCATGCTGTCGTTTCCGCAGAAATCTTCTTTCCCTCTGTGTTTGTTTTTGTTTTCTTTCTCTTCTTTCCCTCACTGTATCGTGGAAAATCAAAGAGAACAGAAACAGATGGTCAAAGAAAACTTTAACCTAACCCTAAAGACTAGAGAAAACAGAGAGAATCCTTTTAAAATCAAAATCTGGGGTTTTTATTTTTGGTAATGTTAAATACCTACAAATGTTTTAAAAAAGATTGGATATAAACTAATAACAATAAATTTATTATCTCTTTAAAAGGGCTTGTCTCATACTCTGAGCAACAAATAAATGGAGTCTCTGAGTTACCTCTTTGTCCCTGCATTGTCTGCTTCCATTACCCAAATTACCCTTACCTTTTTCTTTTTGTCACCTCTTTACCCTATTGTCTTGTCTTTGTACCAACAAATCTTAATTTAATGATGTCAAATCAAGAGAGAAATTTAGGAAATTAGTAGGCGTTGTTTCAGGAAAGAAATGCAGTATTTTCTTGTTAATTAGGGAAATTAATTGGAAGCGTTATTGTAGGATTTAATTATTATGAGAAAATGGGAAATTAGTTGCAAGGGGAAATTATTGGTACATAATGTTGGTAATGTGATTTCAGTCTCTTTTATCAAATCTTGGCTGCATAGAATTCAATGGGTGACATTTAATAATGGGAAAAGGTTATGATTTATTACTATTAAAGTTTTACTTTGACTTTTCTATGTCAATTATTTTTTAATTTTAAAAATTAATATAAATAATTTTATCTATCATATAGAAGATAATTCTATGAGCAATGTATAGCCATATCTTACATTCAAAATTAAGTTCAAATTCAAATACCTTCTCCCAACATCATTATGTATTAAAAAAAAAAGGATAATTGCAAGTTGCAATGTTTCCTTTACAACTCTAAATTCCAACTTTATATTTGAAGGGACAATTATTTGTAGCTTAATCATGTTTTTTTCTGTAAACTTTAACCCAATATGCGTATGTATTCATCATGTTATTTCCATGAATTATAAGATAATCATTTTACAAGCCATTAAATAAATATTTAATGTTGAGTTTTAAATAGGGATCGATGTCGTTGGTCATCATCTAAATAATAATTAATTTGAAAACTTTAATCACTACAATCAATGAATAAATTAAAATTTTTATTAGTTCATTTAGTTATTAACTTAATAAGTATTTGGTTCCATGCGTGTTTAATTCATTCGAGTAATAAAAACATATAAAATTTCTTTTTCTTAGTAAAATGGATAAAATTTGATAAAGTTTATTTATATTATAGGTATAACTTATAGGGTAAAATTTTTTGTTTGAAACTTATTTATAAATTAATTTATACAATAACAAAAACTAAAGTACCCTATTATTATTAATATGAAAATTGAATCATACTAACCTTCAAGTGTTCAGCGAACATGGTTTAATTATTCAAAAACGACTGGGGGTATAAAGGTAATTGCGGAGCAGAACTGGCCAAAAAAGGTTGAGCAGCACGTCCGTGTGGCATGCGCGTCAACTCAGAGCGAGTATGTTCGTTCTCTTCCCTGCCATCCCACGACCTTTTGAAATTGACAGTTGTCTCTCTCAGGACGGAAAGGAAAGGATATTCCAGTAATTTCACTCTCCTCAGCACATCGTTTCTCGATTTCACTCATTAACACGCTTCCCTTCTTCGTCTTCCTCTTCTTAGTCCTTCTTGTCTTTTTGATTTTGCATCAGCAAAAGCAGGGAAAACCAAAAGAATAAAGAGAAGTAAGACCAGGCACGACTGACGAGATGAAGGAAAAAGAGAAAGAAAATGACCTGCTATTCCCGGTCAAGGGGGCAGTACGGAGCAACTACAAATCTTTTTGCTCATTGGCAACACCTGCCGCTGTGCTGACTGGCTGTGCAACATTGTGGTGCATCATCCATCAGAGCACAGTCGTTTTGATTGATTGACCCCATTTTATGTGTTGCTTTAGGCTTTTCTTTCACATTCATTATCGAAGTGACTAAACCTCAAGCCGTCCTTCAATTGACTGATGGGTGCTTCGCCCACCCCCCAGCCCCCAGCAGCTCCTCTGCGCCATGACCGTTACCACCTATTCAATCTCCTTTTTCCTTTTTTTAATTTTTAAAAAAATCAATTTTAGTTATCAATGAATATCAAGATGAATTAATTCAATTTTAGTTATCTTTAATATATATTTTTCATATCTATCTCAATTTTTTAAAAAAAAAATTAAATAAATCGATAGGTGACATGAAATAAAAAAAAATTAATTTTACAATTTTTTTAACAGAACAATAATTATATACTCTTTTTCTTTTGAAAGACAATAGTTATATACTTTGAATTAATTTGTTCATGTGATACTTTTAAATAATACTATTTAGTTGCTTAACAAAGACATCTTTTCGATCTCGAGGTTTAAAAGTTAATAAAAACTTAGAAGGGATGCAATTCAAGTAAGCATGTGACCGACCATGGCAACCATAAAAAATTATATATATAGTATATACTTGGTTAATCGGTTTTCTTGATTTTATTTGCAAAAGAAGTCAATTATTGTGTATAGAACTTTTCCCCACATTTTTTATAGAAAAATTTTCATCAATATTGCCTAGATTCCTTAAGATAATTCATTGCCCTTTAACATACCGGATATGGGTTGAATGTGTCAAACTGCTTGAATAAAGAAATGGTCTTTATCGAGATGAGGTATGATTTTATCATCCATGAATTCTTTTTTTTTTTCCTTTGAATACAAGATAGCTACATTCTACATGGACAGTTGGAATTAATGAATTAATATCTGAGACGTATATTCAACAATTGGTAGTTAATTAATTGCTTACAAAATCTAATATGTAGGATAAAAGTAAAATTGATAAGCAAAGTTCATGCTCAACCTTCAAGATGAATTATCTAAGATTTAACTATTGATGAGAAGCATGGAAATTTGAGTATCAAAGTTTTATAAACAATATGAACTTAACTCAGGGTCTTAAATGGTGGAAGAAGTCTGAATAAATAACCCTACAAGGGCTGCAGCTGTAAAGATTGAAAAGAGCAAAAGGGACATGAAACCCTTGTTTTTCCCCTTGAAGTTGGCTATGATGGAGGGATGGAGAAAGCCTGGATTAAACACATGTTAGGCCAGGGAGCAATTGCAAACAGGCCACACAGGGTAATCCCTTTCCTTTAACGGGACGTCAGCCATTAGGGAAGAAGGCAAAAAAAAAAA